TCGATACGGTATAATAAAATCCGAGGAATTGGTCTTATGATTGTCCGTAAAGGAGCACGTGTCGGCACGGTCGAGACAGAAATTCACAGACACAAAGATTGATCGATCGATCGATGGATCCGGACTAGGAAAGGTAGGCGACGAGAATAGTTTGACCCAGACCTTAAGTGACTGTCGAGGTCAGCAGCCGACGTCGAGCGCCGCTTTTATAGCATATTTCACCCGGTGCGACGTCTTCGTCGTGGTCGCGCGCGCGTCTATACTATACTCCTCGTACAGTGCTTCTCTTCTAGCTTTCATTACCAGCGAGTTTGTAATATCCCTTGGACGATGGACCGCACCGGTGGTAAAGTATAGCCAGCCGGTCACTATGTTGCACGCAAACCGCACCAGCTCACGCGGGTACCACCGGTCACACCCTTTGCTTTTATTCCTCGTTCATTTTGTTCGATTTCCGTCGACGATATTAATAGGCCGGTGAGAAAGTAACACTGATTTTTAATTGTAATAAGGCAAACAACTTCGAGCGTGAGTCAGACGATTCCCTGTGGCATTCGTGTTCCGTTTATATGAATTAGATCGGTAGATAATTTAATGACTCCCAGTTTCTGGCCATCGTTCACGAACACCTGATTTCATGCATTCGTAGATAGAATTAATGAATTCGTGAAATATTAAAACGGACACACTAAATCATAAGAATGTTTTATCTAAATTACATTTTAATTGATAATAAAAATGTTTATATCCATAAAGTTAGAAACGAAATTAGTGTCTGGTCGCAGGATAAAGTTCCTATTGGGGATGTTGCAATTTGATGATTGTTAGGTCTTTGAACGACCCGCCTCGGGTCGTTGATTAATGATGTTTTCCTTGCCCAATAAATACTAATGAATGCTCGCGAAGATTTATTAATGCCGTGCTCTGCGCGGTGAATGGCGAATTAGCTGCCATTTGAACTGAATTTCGACATTTTTAAATATTGCCTAGGTCTCATTTGTCGGTCGAAGGCTATTCATCACATTTAGACCTAACAAAGAATTTCGAGCATAAAATACGTGGCTGTCATTAATATTCGGACACGTTTCACATTTTTCAGTATTAGGACAAAACAATTTAATGAAGTTGTTTGATCCAATATTAAACGTTTAATTCAATATGAGATATTGTAAAATTACTATGATTTATTATTGCGATACGTCCTGTTGGCTGTTCGAGGTATGCAATTAAATCGTTTGTGCGAAGGAAATTTCCCATACGCAAAAAGCAAGGCCGTTTTCGTGCAATTGAGCAGGTTCAGAGAACCGTTCGATGAAACGCATGAAAGAAATCGTTGAGCGCTATTTATACACCGTCTGACTTGGTCTAATTATTACCGGTTCCCATCTCTGAGTCCACTAAATTCTGGCTTCTGATATCCCAATTGCAAGACCCTAATTCATACCCCTAATTAAGTGATCAGTCAAACCTTTAAGAAGCGAGCTGACCTTCTTGCTGTGAATCTTACGCTTTGATCAAATCTGTAATTTAAGAATGTATTGGCTATACAGTCAATCCCAAAAGTTTATGTACTTAAAAAAAATGGATTTCCTATAATTAAAAAGAAATCAGACGTCGGAAGAATAATGCTAATAATA